CCAGTAGACCAGTATGGCCAACACAGAGACAGAGACCTAACTGCACCTAACTGAATCCATGCTATATCTTTGCTAAACATCCTCTCCCTGGGCTGCCTAAGTAAGTCTCCTTTTATTAACTGCTACATTATACAAGAATATCTCCTTTCATTCCATTCTTGAACCTGACCTATTGAACTGGCCTGACTCAGCCCTGGCCTACAATAATTATAATACACAATACTATATGAGGAATTTTTTAGATCACATAATAAATGCTTGCATGACTGATTGATTGGTTGATTAGCGAAGCAAAGAACAAAATGTTCTGTGAGGGCCAAAGGGATAAGGTTATTACTGACTATGGGATTCAGAAAGGTCTTCATATAGAAGGTGCCATTTAAATTGAATGTGAAAAATATTTAGGAATTCAAGAGGGCACTGAGGTGAGTGACACAATTGAAATAATGTTGGCCTTGAGGTCTAAAGATCTGGGTTCAAATCTTGCATCTCTTATGACTTTGGGTAAGTTACTTAACCTTCTTGGGCCTCAGTTTCCTCATCTGTAAAATGAGGGGTTGGCTCGGAGTTTCCTTCCAACCCTAAGAGCTGAAAAGGACCTCAGAAATCACTGAGTCAAAAGACTTTATTTTACGGATAAAGAAACTAATGCCTCGGGAAATGAGGTGACTTGTGTAAGGTCACACAGGTAGTGACAGAAGTGGGATCTGGACCAGGTCCTCTAACTCCAAAGCCAACACTCTTTTCACTGTACTGTTGTTCTATTTATAGCACTCACAGTCCTTCCCTCTTGAAATTACTTTGTGTTTTTAATATACTTTGTACTTAACGTACTCCGTATTATATTTGTATTTATGATATACTTTAATATACTTTATATACTTTTATATTTCAATATACTTTGTATTTAATACACTTTGTGTTAATATACTTTGTATATTTATCTGCCAGTAGAGTGTAAGCTCCCTGAAGGCAAAGACTTGTTTATTTTATCTATATATCCCCAACAAATTGCATATACCTTGAGATATATATTTTCATAATACTAAGATATTTTAATTTCTATTATAAATATTGATAGATATGACCTATATAAACAAAAATTCTTGGGAAAAGTGTTCAATAAATTTTAAGAAGATAAAGGGATCATGAGGCCAAAAAGTTTGAGGACAGCTACTCTGAAGGTACTTCTCTTCCCACAGTTACCTCCTAATCATTTTGGTTTTGTTTTGCTTTTTGACGAGGCAATCGGGGTTAAGTGACTTGCCCAGGGTCACATAGCTAGGAAGTGTCAAGTGTCTGAGGCCGGATTTGAACTCAGGTTCTCCTGAGTCCAGGGCCGGTACTCTATCCACTGCATCACCTAGCTGCCCCAAATCATTTTGTTGTTGCTGTTTGTTGAAGTTTGTCCTTCTTTGCTGCTACCATTCAGGTGTACTTTACTTTATTTACATATTAATTTTTTGCAAATTTTCTTAGAGTCCAAAACCACTGAGCTGTGGTCACTTCTCAGTTATCTAACATCACTGACCAAAATTCAGACTCTTAAAGAAAGCTTGGCCAAATCAAACAAACAAACAATTGTAACCAGGGTTTCTAGCTGGTTACACAAATTGCATCCATCACAACATCTACAGCAATGTAAACAAAGTCAAAACTCAAAGATAAAGCCAGAATCAACTTCCAAGGGTCAATGCTGGAACCACCATTTCCAAGTGAAAGCATGCACTTCCTGTCTGTCAAAAATGAACAAACTACCAAAATGGAAACTGACACGTGTGTTCAGTCACAATCACCTTCTTAACTGGCTTATTTTGTTTTTGGAGAATGTGCTTCGTGTGTGTGTGTGTGTGTGTATGGAAGGGGAGGGGAGAGATTTTTTTAGGTGTTTGTTAAGAAGCATCTGCTATGTTGAAACAAAGTAGGTCAGCACTTTAAAAATATATATATTTTTTTAATTGTGACTCCCTCCCGATTCAAATAACTTTCCTGGGTATTTGAATGCATGCCATTGATACCTTTCTGAGTACATCCTGTGTTGCCTGTCTCAGAACACATATCTCTTGGTTTCCCCTCCTTTATGCATTGCAATCAATCAACATGCATTTATCAAGTGCCTACTATGTGCCAGGAGCTGTTCTAGGTGCTGGAAATACAAAGACAAAAATGGAAAAAGTCCCTGCCCTCAAGGTGCTTACATTCTATAAAGGAGACATTTGTCTAGGTCTTCCTTGCAACATGCTCATTTGCACACACACCCTATTTACCACTGGGCAATTGGTTCCGTAAGAGCGAGTGACCATATCTTGCTTCTCTTTGTGCCCACAATGGTGTCTTTCACATGGACAACGCACGAGGGCTGTTTGAACGGAATGGAAGCTAGAATAGTAGATTATCAGAGCTGGAAGGAATCACAGGAGCCAAGCTTCATCAACAGAGTGCTAACTAGTAATTTCTGTGTCCAGATCAAGCAGAATAAAATGTTCATGAGGCAAGTGGCAAGAGGAATACCCTCTAATGAAGTTTTAAAGACAAATTCAGTTGTTGGGAGTCCACAAGACCTTATGGTGGGGAAAGATAGAGACTCCCAGGAAGAATGTTAGGATGAGAGGAACTCACCAAGGATGCAGGGGTAGGTGGAGTCGTGCACCATCTTGTAATTTTCATCTTAACTAACTATTCCTACGAATGAGCTACTATGCTCAGGGTTGGTTTGTTTTCTCCTGTGCTGTCAATTACAAGATTGAGAGATGGAAAGACTATTAGAATGCAGAATGTCTGAGCTAAGAGGGACCTTTGTGTGTCAGAATACAGAATGGCAGGGTTAGGAGGAACCTTAGAACACAGAATGCTGGAGCTGGGAGGGCCCTTAGAACATGGAATGTGAGAACTTGGAGGGACCTTAGACCACTGAATAAAAGAGTTTGGAGGGCGCTTAGAACATGGAATGTGAGAACTTGGAGGGACCTTAGACCACTGAATAAAAGAGTTTGGAGGGCCCTTAGAATTTTTTTAGGAGGATAGTTATTTGTTACGTTGCTGAAGACAAAAGGAAAATGATCATAATCAACACCATCTTCATGCACTCACAAGAGATTTTTAAAGAACAAAGGTCAAAAACAACTTATAACATAATTGATTTTGCAATACAAAAGAAAAATGATAAAAAATAGAGTTTAACCTAAAAATAGTTCACAAAACAAACTAAAGCTATAAATACCATGACTTTACCTTAATACCAAACTAAAATGGCTCCTTTGAATTTTCAAAGTTCTATTGTCTCAAATTTACATTTTTTTAAAGTGCTAAAAATATTACTTCCTAGATTTGAGCCCTGGGTCAAAAGGAATCTGCTAACACAGAACATCAGGAGTCAGGAGGGCCTGTAAATGTAGACTATTATGGCAGGAATCAACTTCAAATCAACTTCTTTATTTCACAGTCAAAGAAACTGAAGCCCAGATTGGTAAGGTCACAGAGGAAGCTTGGTCAAATCTCTTCCACTCTCTAGGCCTTCATTTTCTCAAATGTAAAATGAAAGGATTGGACTCAATTATTGCTAAGATCTCTCCCATGTCAATGACCCTCAGGAGCCATGTATTTAAGGTTTGCCAACAAATTAGTGGTGTACTAAGAAGGAAAGAAGGAGATCTTGTGTTTCCCATGCGTGGATCCTGAGGGCTTCCTTTCTCTAGTCTGAAGGCTACAACTGCAACCTCAGCTACATGCAGGCCACAGCCATGGTGTGACCTGAGGGACCAAATATGTCAGCTTGCCTCCAAATATCTCCCTCTCAGCCAGCCAGGATGTATGACAGTCCCACCTTTTGATCTTTCCTTGAAGACAAGGCACCCTGTCTCCACTAGGCCTCTATTAGAAGGTAAATATTGCATACCAATACCATGAAATGCTTCTGCACAATAAGAAATGATGAAAAGGATGGTTTCAGAGAAACCTGGAAAGACTTACATGAACATATACAAAGTGAAATGAACAGAACCAGGAGAACAATGAATGTAATAATAATAACAACAACGTAAAGACAATTTTGGAGGATGTTAATTAGCGCAAGGCTAACCGTGGTTCCAGAGGATTAATAATGAAGAAAGCTACTTACCTCCTGCCAGAGAGGTGATGGACTCAGGGTGCAGAATAAGACATATATTTTTCGGACATAGCCAGTGAAGGAATTTGTTTTGTTTTGATGATGCATGTTTGTTACAAGGTGGTTGGGTTTTTTTTCATTTTTTCCTTGTTTGAGTCAGGAGGGAAGAGGAAAGGAAAAAAATACATTTTTATTGATTGAAAAAATTAGCACTTTAAAATTAGGTGTCCCCATTGGTGACAAGAGCAAACAATGGAGAATTTATAATAACAGGGTTCACACTTGATATGTAGCCTTTCGTATATTATTTTATTATAGTGTGCTTATATCATATATTTATAAATTATTTATATATTATAAAGCCTTGAGGTACATTTTACTCCCTGTCTCTTAAGAAAATTGAGTCTTAGGTCCCATTTCTTCAAAGTGCTTTTCTCTTGAATCATACTAATGGAATATTTATATAGCATGCTATGTTTGCTGAGCATTTTCCCATCCATTAACTCACTTGATTTTCCAAATAGCCAACCTTATGGCATAGGCAGGGAGGGTATCATTATCCCTATTGGACATTTCCTCGTTTATAAAGCCCCCACCAGCTCTAATGTCTATGATCTTTGCTGACTTCTCCAAACTCCCCCACCTCCAGTGACTAGCACTGCCCTCCATATTGCCTTCCCAGCCACCCAGGTCCCACGCACAGCTCTCCTGCCCACTCAGCCTAACACCCTGACATCTTTTTCCTCCCTTCCTGCTTCTCAGCACTCTATTGCCAAATACTCCCCCATGCCCCAGGGGGAAGACAAACCCAAACCCGACCCTTTCCCTTCCTCCACCTGCTGAACACACCCGAATTGTGATCTGACTATGGGGAGCCCCAGACGCTTTAGACTTACTTATCCAGCTGCACTTGCCTGGTCTCCATTCATGCATCACCAAGGGCAGGAAGGAACCCGAGAGGTCAGAGACAGCAAGGGAAAAGTCCAGCTGAAGCATAGAGTGAGGCCCTGGGAAGGAGAGCAAATGGACTGGCTAATTATGGAGAATAGCAGATGATCTTTAACGGGAGATTCCTTAATGCTCTGGGACCAGAAGTCTGGAGAATTTGAAGATACTGCCAAAGCTTAAGGGCATCCATTAGACTCCAGCTCAAGAGGAATATCTCTGTAAAACAAAAATCCCTGCCCAATAAAAGTTGCCCACCAGGCAGATTTGTCTAGCATCATAGAATGAGCAAGAAGGAATCTTAGAGAATATCTAGTCTGATCCAGTCTCTCACAGGTGAGGAAACTGAGGACAGGACAGAGGAAACCCACCCCAGGCCAAAGAGCAAGTCCACCAGAGACAATCCTTGAACCAATATCCTTAGACTCTTAATCCAGTAGTCTCACACTCTACATTATACCCCAGCCTGCCTCAGTTTCCAAAAGTGACTTGAAGAGAATTAGAATCTCGGTTTCCTCATCTGTAAAATGAAGACCATAATAACACCAACCTCACACAGTTTTGTTAGGTTCAAATGAGGCAAAAGGTATAAAGCATTTGGCAAATTTTAAAGCATCATATAAATGCTAGCTATTAATAATAATTTTGTCAGTAATTATATTACTGACAAAATTGTTTTTACTATTAATAATAGATCTATTTTTATAATATGATATTGTTGCTTTGATTAATAATGATGGTTGACAATGATTTCCATGGATTGTCATGCATATGTCCATCCCTGGGCATTCTCCCACACTAATAGAGGACTGAGAACTCAGTTGTGAGGGGTCAAACAAGCCACTCTAAGGTTGACTGTGAAGGACTTTGATCCTTTCTTTGCTCTCAGACTCAACGTTCTGGCTTTCCAGTAGAGAAGGACCTACCCATGCCTCACATAAGACCCAGAGAAGCATGGACAATGTCCACGAGCTGCCAACTTACTGTCTTCCCAAGAGGTCTGGGCTGCCTACAAGTACACTGGGGAAGAGAGAAGGGGAAGATCCTTAATTACCACAGCCAAGGCTCTCAAATTTTCTTGGACTCTTTCTTGCTGTCTGCTCCCTCATTCTCATATACCACATTATAGTTCACACAAGGACTGGAGCAGTCCAATTGTGATACACTCAGCATGGAAAGTAATTCAAATTTGATGTATGGCGACATGGATAGATGAATAGAAGGATGGATGGATGGAGGAATGGATAGATGGATGGGTGGATAGATGGACAGGTGGATGGATGGATGGATAGATGGATGGAGGGAGGGATGGAGGGATGGAGGGATTAGTGAAATAGAATGCAGCACATTATACTCCTCATTAGACCAGTTGCCTAATTTCTCATTCTCTGGCATGTAGGACCAAGCTTATCTTTATGATCCACCAAGAGAGTTGGATTTGGAATTGAAATTCTTGGGCTTGAATCCTTGCTCTACAATTACTAGCTGTGTAAACCTAAGCACTTAGCCGCTTTCCCTCGGCAGGCCTCAGTTTCTTCATCTGTACAATGAAGAATTTGTTCTAGATGAACTTAATTACAAGGTTCTTCCCAGATCCTTATAAGATAGCCTCTGGAGCTTGAGTTCTTTTTTTGTTTTTTTGTTTGTTTGTTTGTTTTGTTTTGTCTTTTGGAGCTTGAGTTCTTAAACAGGAGTCCATGGTCTCTTCCAAGGGCATCTGTAGATAGATTTCAGGAGGTCCCTGAATTGGATGGGGAAAAGCTACATCTTCATTTTAATATAATTGGTTTCCTTTGCAACCCCATGAATTTAAAAATATTATTCTGAGAAGGGGTTTAAAGGCTTCTCCAGACTGAAACAGGGATCCATGACATGAGAGGCAAGACCAGTTTGGACAAAATTATAAAGTAGGCAAGGGCAGCTAGGTGGCACAGGATAGAGTGCTGGGCCTAGAGGCAGGAAGACTCATCTTCCTGAGTTCAAATCTGGCCTCACACACTTACTACCTATATGACCCCATTTGGGATTTTCCTGGCAAAGATCCTGGAGTGGTTTGCCATTTCCTTCTCCAGCTCATTTTATAGATGAGGAAACTGAAGCAAACAGGGTGAAGCAACTTGCCCAGGGTCACACAGCTAGGAAGTGCCTGAGGTCAGATTTGAACTCAGGTCTTCCTGACTCCAGGTCAACACTCTCTCCACTGTGGCGCCCTCCAGCTGCCATAATCAACAGAAGAAGGTCTCAGTGTCCCAGACAATTCTCTAGGACTATAAGCTGCAGGGCATGTGCCAACCTGCATTGGCAAAAGGGGTTACTAACCAGCAGCTCCTAATACAGATAAAATCACAGGTCCGGCCAGCTCAAAAATAATCTTGGTGGTACCTACCTCAGAGGGCTGTTTTAAGGCACAAGTCAAATAGTGTCTATAAACTGCTTTGCAAATTCTACAGTGCTGCATAAATATTATGAGCACAAGCATAGTCTCCTGACTATATCAAGTCATAGTGAGGCAGCATGGGGCAGTGGACAGAGCACTGGACTTGTGGTCAGAGTGATGTGAATTCAAATCCTGCCTCAAATACTTACTAAGGGTATGATGCAGGCAAGTCACTTAATGTCTGTTTGCCTTAATTTCCTCACATGCTGGAATCAATGGACTTTCAGCTCTAATGTTATAACCCTATGTGCTTTGCTAGGCACTAGCTAGGTCATGAAGGGATCGGCTCTCTCTGCTTCAGCCTAGGGCCAACCATCCCTAAGGATTCTTATCAATTCCATGATTGGATAAGGAAAGAAGAGTGGCCCTACTCCTCGTCTTGAAGCTGGCTGCTCAGTAGAGCAATCCTATCCATTTGTCCCTGCCTTGTGAGCAGAGTAATCGACAATCACCTGGGCTTGGGCTTGCCTTTCAGGGTCACAAGGAGAGGAGAGACCCAGGGACTTCACTTTTCTAACTTCTAATAATGGGCCAAATACATGGGGGGCCTGTAACAGGGAACCCCTGATCTTTGCCAGTTTGAAGGAAGCCAGAGTTGGCAAGGCCCACAGATAACATTCTGGACATATTTCCCTCTATTGTTCTACCTGTGGTAACTGTTCCCAAATGGGACATTCAAAGGCTCAAGATAAGTGATAGGAAATAAATATAGGGCCTCTGGGGCCATACCCACCCTCTAAAACACATTCCTCTCTCTCTCTCCTCTCTTTCTCTCCCTCCCTTTCTCTCTCTCTCTCTCTCTCTCTCTCTCTCTCTCTCTCTCTCTCATACACACACACACACACACACACACAAAAGCACACACACAAACACACACACAAACACACACACAATCATACAACCTCCCAAAGACTTAAAATGTGGGTAACCTCATCTCACCTTCTCACCTAGCTCATTTCTTCACAGGACAAAGCCCCTGAAACAGAGTTCCTAACCGAGGATCCATGATTCTTTTTTAGTATTTTGATAACTATTTTAATATATAACTTGTTTCCTTTGTAAGGCTATGTATCTTATGCATTTAAAACATTATTCTGAGAAAGGATTATTAATAATAATAATTAGCATTTATAGAATGATTTAATGTTGGCAAAGTACTGTGTTATTTCATGTGATCTTCACAGCAACCCTGTGAGGTAGCTATTATTATTGTCCCCATTTAACAGATGAGGAAACAAGATGAGAGATTAGATGACTTGGCCAGGGTCCCACAGCTAGAAAGTGCCTGAGTTAGGAATTGAACTCAAATCTTCCTGACTCCAAATCCAGGGCTCCTACCCACTGTACCACCTAGCTGCCTATAGGCCTTTCGGGACTGCCAAAGGGTCCCAAGCAAGCAAGACAAGGTGAAGAACACTTTCCTTGGAGGATGAGATGTTATCTTTGGATGCTTTGAGCATCCCCTGGAACATTTCCCTATTACATGTTCAGCATGTTTCTTAGTTCACTAAAGGAGATGACAGGAAGGGAAGGGAAGGGAAGGGAAGGGGAGGGAAGGGAAGGGGAGGGAAGGGAAGGGGAGGGAAGGGAAGGGGAGGGAAGGGAAGGGGAGGGAAGGGGAGGGGAGGGGAGAGGAGGGGAGGGAAGGGGAGGGAAGGGGAGGGGAGGGGAAGGGGAGGGGAGGGGAGGGGAGGGGAGGGAGGAGAGGGGAGGGGAGGGGAGGGAAGGGGAGGGGAGGGGAGGGAAGGGGAGGGAAGGGGAGGGAAGGGAAGGGAAGGGAAGGGAAGGGAAGGGAAGGGAGGGTCTATGAACAGTCATACAGGACTATACTCATACAGGATTGTAGGATAGAAAGACTGTCAATATATTAGTGTCTACTTCTCTTAGCCTACCCCCATTTTCCTCTTCTGCTCTCCTCCTGTTTCCTTCAGCTCACCTCCCTGCCACTGCCATCATCTCTTTATTTCCCCCATAAATCTTCTGCCAATATATAAGAAGTTCAAAATCTCTGAGTTGGAAGGGAACTAAGAGATCGTTTAGTCCAACCAATAGGTGCCCAAGAATGCCCTCTCCCAAAGCCCCAGTGAGTACTCAATAAGTCTATGTATGAAGAGATCTAGCGATACAGATGCAGTCACTTGGCACAGTGGATAGAGCTCTGGACCTGGAGTCAGGAAAACCTAAATTCAAATTGGCCTCAGACACTTCCTACCTGTGTGACCATGGGAAAGTCACTTAACCTCTGCCTGCCTCAGCAAATAATAACAGTGCCTACCTCCCAGGGTTGTTGTGAGGATCAAATAAAATATTTGTAAAGTGTTTTGCAAACCTTAAAGTGTCATATACATTCAAACAATTATTATGACTTCTTGACTCCCAAGGCAACTGATTCTATTTTGGGACAGTTCTAATAATATTGAGGCATTATCCAAATGCTGTCCATCCACCAATTCTATCCATTGCTTCTCTTTCTCTCTTCTGGGGCCAAGCAGAATGACTCCTATCTCTTCTTCACTGGAGAGTTTGCATCCCTCCTGGCCACAGGTGAAACAGACCTAGATCCATCCTCTTCCTCACGCTGAATAGCCTCTAGTCCCCTCATTATCTCAGTGACCCTCCTCTGGA